AAAGGTTATTAGTACTAAGATAAGAGGGACAAATAACCAAAGATATTCTGCCAACAAAAAGACGATAGAAGACACGATTTCATGTTGTCACTTTCTGGGCATACGCTGTGGCAGCACATGGGGTTGGAATGATTCTTCTCATTTTATGATAATTTGGCTGTTGTTCAATGGATTTTTTTAAGTGAATCAATGTCCTTTTCAAATGAAAAACGTTTCTGGAACGTTATTTGAAAATTTATGATATACTTATTTCAAGACTTGTACATATGTAAACCGATTTCTTTGGTATTTCCCTAATTCTGAATTGATAGTATTCTATGGTGAGTCATGCTGTTTATGTATTAGCTTACATGAATGTGATGCTAAAAGTCTCATATTTTTTGGGAAAAAGTTTTTTGTGATTATTTCAAATTCAGAATGGTGAAAGTTGTTGGAATTAATTTGCTTGATTGTAAATATAAGTATGGCAAAAATCATCTGTCTGTAATTATAATTCCCATTCAGACAAAGTCTAAAAACTGTGCTTCTCTACCTGTATCTCAGACATACCTGGACCGATCACATTCAAACTTCACACATACATGTCCATTCATTTCACAATCTGATTTATATCTCTGACAAGCCCTGGCCGATCGTGTTCAAATTTCAGACTCATGTCGCATATGTTTTTGTTTGTTGATCTGATTCAAGATTCAAGAAGCCATGTCAATGTTAACAATTTGAGGGAATACAGTTCTGGAGTCATATTCCTGATTGTTTATCTCACTCAGCCTTATTGTATTCACTGTTTCTGTAACTACCATAATTAATATTTAAGAAAAACCTGACACTCTCCTGACATGACCATGCCACCTGTATTCAACAACAACTTCATCTATGTATATTATTTATAATTCTAAGAAACATCTTTGGCTTGTTCCCTGCAGGATAATGCAAATATGCTGTTGCCATGGATACACGGACTGATCCTGTTTATGCTTGTGGAGCTGGCCTGCACTATTTACATTTTTGTGGAAGCAGTAAGTGTGATTATTATGTGGTGTGTTCATTTTATGAGCTGATAGGTTTATCATGAAGGCATTTATTTAAAACATGTCACATTAAAATGCTGGGTAATTTAACTTCCTGTTCTTGAACTAGTTTCAGTATAATCATGCATTGCCTAAAAATCTATTTGGATAGTATCTGTATAGATAATGGTACAAAGAATGTTTATCAAATGCAATGTTTATGTCTGTACTTTGTTCTGTTTCAGGGTATGAGTAGCATGTACTGGTTTTCTCTCTTTGAGTTGGTCTTCTATGTTGGACGCACTGTGCTGAATGTGAGTAGATAGCTATTAGGTCTTCGTGTTCAATTTTAAACAAAGAAAACTGTCAATAATCATGAAACCTACATCAGTGTTAGCGTCGTAGAATACTATGTGTTAATTTGAATGTTGGAATAAGTGCAGATACGTTTATAAAGCGAATGCACATATGGCTTTCTTGTTTGTAGTACTAGATGTAATAATCTTCAACACATGACCATTGTGAATATTATTCAATCTGTTTTTAGAATTTATTTATTAACACAACACTTCAAAAAGTACGGCAGTAAGGTCACTAAAAACTACAAGACAATAAAAAAAATGATTGACAGTATAAGATAAAAAGTGGACACAAATTACAAAGTTACATTCACAAATTAAAAGATTTACTGGAAATTAAACATACTAAAATACATTACAATATATCTATACTCCTACTATGAGGTGCTGTCTTATTTTAAGGAAATGTTTTTTTTCAAAGTTTCTATATGTTCTTAAAATAGTTTTTCCTGTAGATGGCTTGTTGTCATTGTGAATATCTTCCAATGTAACATGAAGGATTCTTCAAGTTGATTTTTTATTTCCATTAATTTGCATTTAATAATCAGTATATATAATTACAGTTTGATCCATTTTTGTTGATTGGATATCCACTTTGACGAACCATTTGCTATTCATTTGATTATTCGCTTGTGCTGCTTCTTTGAGTAGTAACTTTTCTTTAGTTAATTACTTGGCAGTAATGTTTAATTATCGGTAGATGTTTTTTTATGAATATGTCCACCGGAAATATCCCAATTCTTCACCAATATTTTTAGAGTAGTGATACACCCTCAAAATGTCATCAGTCTGTGCATTAACAGTATGAAGAGAAAAAAACATGCGATAATACCACTGCAATATGATAATTTTGAACTAAATAACAATAACTGGCATAGTACAGTGACAGTAATTAAAAATAATGAGGACTGAAAGTTGATTTTGAAAAAAAAAAATAACAATTTTGAAAACCATCAACAGCCGTGCTGGTTTTAATTCGTATTTTCATTTCCTTCCTTCCCCTGAATCTGAATTAAAAACAGAATTATACCAGGTACCACCAAATAACTTCTAAAAATCACACCTAAACAGAAAACTGGTTTGGTGTTTGATTTAGATAATTCTTCATTGTATTCAATAAGTGAATGTTTTCTGTGTCCTCTGTAGATTTACTGCGTTCTGTGTGTGGTTTCTCAGTACCAAGAATTGAAAGCCGGTCGTGGTCGATTAGAAGATATGAGAAGACCTGTAAGTAGATCAATAGTTCCGATTCTTGCATCGTCTATACCTATATTATCAGTAATTACTGTACAATTGAAAAAACATTCAGTGCTGAATCTAATACTACTTGAACACATTCTGTGGTAATTCTCACTTTATCTTGTTATGAACTCTTTCCAATGTTTTTGACAAAACTTTAATATTGTTTACTTATTTTGACCAAAAACAAATTATTTTCATCAACATTTTCATTAAGCTAAATATTAAACATACCAGGTAACCATTTTTGTCTAATAACCCACCCTGGATGATATTTTGGAGGAAGAGTTGGGTGAAATGCTGACTCCAAAACGTTACCAGGACGTTCTTATAGCACATTTTGTTGTAAATACTATTTCAATTCATTACATGTATAGCCTTAAACACAATAGTCATATTGCTGTCAGTATTCTAGTATTGATGTCAGTATTCTAGTATTGCTGTCAGTATTCTAGTATTGCTGTCAGTATTCTAGTATTGATGTCAGTATTCTAGTATTGATGTCAGTATTCTAGTATTGCTGTCAGTATTCTAGTATTGATGTCAGTATTCTAGTATTGCTGTCAGTATTCTAGTATTGATGTCAGTATTCTAGTATTGATGTCAGTATTCTAGTATTGCTGTCAGTATTCTAGTATTGCTGTCAGTAT